TGCAAACCCGCCTTGTTATATTACTTAATGAGTTACGCAGAAACAGAAAATAACGCCGATACTGCAGTAAATAAAATGGAATTCAATTTGAGCACTTTCTTTAACTGTAAATTTAGATTAACATTTGGACAAGTTTTTTCTAATAAATACAATTTTTAAACTAATACACGTCTGAACTAATTTTTGCGAGAGGACAATAGATAACGCGGATAAAAATACTACTTCAATAAAATTTTTAAGTTAAAATGATAATTTAGTACTAGACAGCAATTAATACTAATGAACTAAAACTAGCTAATTATTAAATATATAAAATTATGGTTTAATAAATTTATTAAATAGACAATTTATTTGCATCTCATGGCAGAAGTCACATTAAAATGTTATACTATTGAATATAGATCTGAATTCGGAAAGCTCTTGGCGGACTCAATACAATGACGTAAAATTATACAGTGTCCCGTTTATGTCATATGTCTTTATGTCAGAATTCAAAAAAAAATCGGAAGAAAACTAGCTACTTCGTTGGATTCTACGTAAAAATCTCGTCTCTATAGACATATTTTAATTTTTTCGATAGCTGAAATATTCACGGAGGAGTGCCGAAAATATCTCAGAATCGCAATGGGTTAAGAAAATTCTCTTGACGCCATCTTTCATTTCAAACTACTACTCTTAAACTAGATATCCTGCAATGACAACGAATTTCGGGCACACTGTATATCCAAGTACATACATTTTATATCATGGCTCCTATATCAGCACAACAATTTATCTAAGGAGTTAACAGGAATGATCGAAAAAAGCACACCACTCAAGGAAGAATTAGAAACAGCCCCGGGAAAAAAAAGGAGTGAGAGAAGAAAACCTAATGAGGAAGGAAAAAAACACTAAAAAAACTGTAAGTGGTGATGAAGACAGAAAAAAACGAAAAGGCAAACAAAAATGGAGGCAAGCTTAAGTTCAAGTTTAAAACGTCTATAACCTGTTTCCTCCAGAAATAACAATTTCTTACATTATGTTTTTCCACGAAAGGAAAAACCGTCATTAAAGTTGTCGGAATTCAATTAAAACACACAAAAGCCTCAAATTAACTCCGCTAATGCTTGGACAGTTCGCTAAATATTGAGAACTGGGAAAAACAATCACTTGGCTCGTTACGCAAAAGTCCTCGGAAACGGGGAAACCAATTTCATACTCTTCTGATAACACGGCCAAGTTGACAAACGGTCCCAAAAAGCAATTTGAAAGGACTTTGTAATAACACAACTTTATTGAGCGTCTACAAAGGCGGCGGCGCGCCATTTCATATTTCAGGACTTAATAATACTTCTGGGAGACAATGAAGAGGTAAACTGCCAGCTGTTTGCCGCGCTGTTGTTTTGGTGTCGAGTATTATAATATTACCGCAACACCAGTTATCGCAGAGTCAATTAATTTAGTTATTGTTAATATGCGCCTTTTGCGTAATTTGAGTTTAACATACGGTTAATAAACGTTAAGGCATTCGTGGTGTGGAAGTTTTATTTTAGTAACGAATAATATGTATTATGTAAAAAGTGACCCGTTTTATCTCGAAACCTACGGGGGTTACAAAAAAATTTAAAGACAAAAGTTGTGTCAATTAAAATGACATTTTTTGTATTATTTATTTTTATAGGGGTACATTTTATTGCATTTTTGGATGAGTCTGTGATTCGGGTTATGTTTAAATCATCATTGCTGGCTTGGTTATTTTTTTTTTCTATCTACTATTTTTACGAATATAATGTTTTTCTTTAGGCAATGATCAAATTTAAAATATTTTCTTCGAATACGCGGTATTGCCACATTTCACAAAATGATACTATTCCAAATTTTCTTAAATGTATATTATTGGATTTTCGAATAGCCACTTTAATAACAATTTCAATTATAGAACATAGTACGGGTCTCTGACTTACCGTCTTTGCTTAATTGGCAATTATTTTCTAATAATACATAAATAAATATATTCATAATTTGAGAATATTTTAAATAAGGTACCTTAAATGAAAAAACAATCATATTCTTAATAATATACACCACATGTATTTAAAAAATATATAGGAACCTGCCTGTTGAATAACACAACACAAAATTGATGATATTATTAATTTTGACCTTTTTGTTGAGTCTATTTTGTAATTAATGTAGGAGGAGGAAAAAGTTGACCTGCGGTGGTATTTAATAGGAAAAGTACGCATTATAGGATTACCAGAAAATAAAAAATGTGTTTTTGAAGTAAACAAGCTGGGGCGAAGATCCTTGAAAGTATGGTGTGCAATCTGGAGAATTTTAGGACCCATATTTTGCCAACAAAATTTAACATCCGTATGATATTTAAATTTGGCCACTTATATATAATTCGTTTTTTAAACGAAGATTTCAAAGAGCGGATTGGACAAAACGGAACCATCTCCTGGCCAACGAGGATTCCAGATTTGACCACGATGGACTTTTGGGGGGGGGGGGGGGGGGGGCACATTGAAAGATTTGGTTTACAAAGATAAACCGTCAACAGTTTTGAATACGAATTTAAATGAAACCAATACACCATATACCATTTAGAAATAGCATATACTACTTGCATTCTTCGAAACGGCGAACATATTGAAAAACTAATTTAATGAATTTTACTTGTAATAAGCATTAGTAGTGTTAAAATTGTGCAAAGCTTAATATTCTGTTTTTAATATGACTTCTTAACAATGCTCTGTGTTCATATCAAACAATTCCCAGTTTCATATCTTAATAATTTAAATCTTATACCCAGTTTTTAATTATATCTGCTAATTAAGCCAAAACAGTAAGTCAGAGACCTCTGTTACAAAACTGAAATTGCTATTAAAGTAACTATTCAAAAATCCAATAATTTGAAGGATGTCTCATTTAAGAAAATTGAGAAAAGTATCATTTTGCAAAACAATGCAATACCGCGTATTTTAAGAAAATATTTTAAATTTGATCATTGCCTAAAGAAAGGCATTATTTTCGTAAAAATAATGGATGTAAAAAAGCAACCCAATAATGATGCAATAAAATGTGGGGTGTTCTATTTTTAAAAATGTAACTTTATTTTACCAGAAAAGTGCCGATTAGGAAAATTAAAAAAAGTCATTATAATGGAAATTACTTTTGTATTTAATTTTTTTTGAAAACCCAGTAGGTTTCCAGATAAGATATAGGCCCCACTTAAACGACCACCCTGTACAACGAATGAATGTTGACTTTTGAGAATGTTCATTTCAAACAAAGCCATTCAATAGAACAAATGGAAAGAATTTGATCCAAAGCTGTATAAGAAAATTATTTACGATTAAAAAAAAAATACTATTATCAATATAATTGTTCATATTTAAGAGCCCTTTGATGTGCAAAAAAAAAATAGTTAGATCGTTGTAAGTAATTAACACTCTTTTCTTTTGTATAAATCTTGACGATTAAACAACAGGTGTAGAAATACATTTTAATTTTCGATTTCTTCATCCTAACGAAAAGCCGTTTTTTTTTTAGTTTTTGTTATGAGCCCTATACAGCATATGCGGGTATCTTTGCAGGAAAATCAGCAGTAAATATTTTGCAGCTAACTTTGATTGATATCGTGATATATATTATCATATATTTAAGGAAAATAATATGAGTCATATTTGTTCCACTCAAAAAAAAATGCAACTTTGCTAGCTTTACAATTTTTGGGACAACCTGTGTAGTATAGAAAATATTTTTGCTTAGGCCATATTCACATAAAGTATCCCACTGTACGAGGTCGATAAATCAAGTAATGAGATTGAAAAACTGGAGTTTGAACTCGCTCAAATCATTTGGTTGTCATCAATTCAAGAAACCGTCTATTATCAGGTTTTTCCTGAGAATTTGTTTACTTTTCGCAAGGTCAAAGGGATATCAGGAAAGAAAATTGCTTTGACTTTTTGGAGTCGATTAAAAATGACCATTATTTTATAGAAACCAAGCACCAGAGCATGGAGATCTACACTTCAACCTCTCCTGCTGATTTATTTTTTCAATATTTACGGGATCAACAAAAAGTTTCCGCCTCAAACGGCTCGTTTCTTTGAAACGAAACCTCAGGGACAACTGGGTGTTCCTTCTCACACAGCAATTTCAATAAACAGGTTTTTGGCCAAAACATGCCTCCTTATTCGCTTGATTCGAGTTACTTTTCTCCTTCCCGATATTGAAAATGTACGTCAATGACAGTCGATAACATTTAAACGGCTGTAGCCGACCAGGTGAAAGTTACTCCTGTATCAGATTTCCAGTACTGCTATAAAGAGTTGAAGAAACACCTGCAGCGCGGTGTGGCAGCAGAAAGAAGTTATTAACTGGACGCGCATGCGCGGTAGAAATATGTCTCATTTTTTAACGTTGGTTCGCCTTTAGTCGACATAGCTTTTCAACATTTCCCTATAAATAGTAGCTCCAAAATGAAAGATTCTTGGAGACAGAATTTAACGAAATAAATAACACTGTGAATGAAATTAAAATTTAATATATCATCGCAGTCCAAGAGATTTATTTCCAAACAACAATAATTATTAACTATAATAAAGTACTTTAAAAAATGCTTATTTTTCTAAGGTATGCTGAGCACAAGGTGCCCTGCTACTACGTTTCCGTCCTTAACCTCATTGAATATGACCTCTCATCTTATAACTGCAGTCAAAAGATAAGCGAGCTAACATTTATTCTAAAGAGCAACGAAACGAGCCATTAAATCGAATAAATCTGTTGTAACTTTCAAACGAAAAACGTTTTCAATTTTTAACCCTAGAGCGGATTAGGTATTATTAACGTTGTCTGCGATACACATTACCAATTCCATCAGTCACGACTAATCTCCAGACGGGCACTGTTATTAGGACGATCAATGAAAGCCCAATGTTGAATGACATTAGCTATTCAAATCGTATTAAAGGATAAAAAGGACTTGATATGATTAACTTCTAAAAAACTTTTGGTCGCTAAATATTTTAATGGCAAGACATTGACACACTTTTAATATACAAAAAATAAATTTCTAAGCTAAATAAGTGAAAAACAAAATACATCATAAAATAAATAATATTTAACTAAACATCATATTTAATGTAACCCTAATTAACATTAAATTGATGGGTTTCGAAACGAATACTTTACTCACATAATGTAAGTATTGCTTTAATACGAATTACACAAGTAAATGGTGATACATCGCGTCAAGGTATATTAGCGATTTGTGTTTCTATGGTTTGGTTAGAGTCCTTTTCATACGGAAAATGTGGCCATAATACAAACTGTTCAAAAAGTTTTATTTCTAGGATATGTGAATACTGCTATAAAATTACTTTTATGCAATAGAGGTTATCTCAAAAGTGTTACCCCATTTAAGCAAAGCCCATTACGATCAAAATACACAACAAAGGTTTATGGTACTTAAACTTCAAGATTTAGTTTCACCACACTTACACTTATCCCGAAAAAACTTAAGAATATTACTATGAGGGCAGTAATTATTTTGAAGGTAAACTACAACTAAATTACAATAATTTGAAGAAAACAAAAACGTGATGAAGAATTGATGATTTAGTGAGGGAAATCTTTTGTCTGGAAAAATTTCCTTGTGTGAATTTTAAAAAAAATTAAAGAGAGGTTTTCGAGTGAAGGAAGCAGTAAATTGTAAGCTTAAAAAGCGTAGTAGAAAAAACATTTCTGAAATAGAGCAGACTTATGTTAAGGAATATTAATAAAGTGGAAATCCTAATTCGTTATTATTTGATGTGATAATCTTGTGAGTAAACACAAGAAAATAACCATTCGTCTATTACGGCCATTCGATAAGTAATTAAAAAGTTAAGATAAAATATAGTCTATCGATACTCCTTGCTGTAGATTTCGGTTCCATATATTTATGTATTGAAAATTGTATTACATTTTGACATATTGAAACATACATTTACTCTGGTCGTAGAATCCAAAAATACCATAATATATAGGGATTTCACTAAACAAAAATACAACTTTGGTAGCTTTACAATTTTTTAGATTACCAGTGTGGTATAGAAGCAATTTTAAAAGGTTACCACAATAAAATCTCTACACATTCGAAATATAAAACGATCTCAAAACCTTGCATATTGGTCGCAATATTCCGTACCGTGTAGCATGCATAATCCTGTATATGTGAATTACAAGGTAATTTGGAAATGTCAGACATATACTGACACACATATAGTACACGACATTTTGCTATACCGTCTAGCACAAGACAATAAAAAATAATAAATCCGGCATTAACCTACAAACATAATCAAGTGGAAATGTGGCATAACCGGATTTCAAAAGAATTCATTTAGCTCAAAAGCGTTTTGTTTTTATTGATTTGGAAATGCACAAAAAATGGAATTGAAATGCTAGAATCACAATAAATAATTGTAGTTCAGTAAACTTAACTCTTTTAGTACGCTTCTAAAATAGAAACACAGCAACGACATTAAAAACTTGAGATTTCATCTAGGTTATAAATTTTTTAGGACAATATTGGCCACGCCTCTTTTACAACTTTTTACGTTTCAGTTAACTCTTGAATCTATGTTTCCCTAGCTCAACACTCAACATAACACAAATTTAAAAACATATTACACAAATACCGTTCAAAATGAAAACTCTTGACTCCAAGTTTATGTATACAATATAACTAACCACTACCATATCATTCATATCTGTGATTGGGATACTTAATTGTACTCGCTTCTGCTTTCGTACTATGAAGCTTCCTCTTCTTACTCGCCTTCCTACTTTTTTCGTGCACTTGTCTTTCCACCCTATCGATGTGGTTTAAATGGTTAACAATATCGCGATTATCCCATTGCGATTGGAAATCGTCCTGATTGGACTTTAGGTTAGTAACACTGGCGAAGCTGTTACCGAAAGGAGAGTTTTCGAAACTATTAAACGTGTCATCGTTGTAACCCGATTGGAAAGTTTGATGCACTGGATCCCCGTAGGAATTGACCGCCCCTGGACTATTGTATGACGATCTGCCAGGCTCGTGTTCCAGCGGATGGTCGCGGATGTTTGGCAACTAAAAATAAAATCACAAAACGAAATATCAGTATTCAACTTGTTATTTACAATCCAGCACACACAGCACAATTCAAGGTCATCATGAGCTCCCAAGTTCTACAAATAACTAGTGAAATCTGTATAGCTTGTTTTATTATTCATAAGTTTTGTAAATAGTGCTTCAGAATAGGTTTGAAAGAGCTCTCAAATATTGTGAAAAGGCTGAAAAGTGGCATTTTCTATAGGGCTTTGTATTCTTTGTTTGTATCAGAATCATTTTTCATCAACTTTTCGCATTTGTACTTTCATTGATGAAGTTAATTCTTTTATTCTAGACATAGGCTGAGCAATCGGAAAAATCAGTGCTCCTATTTTTTTTATAATCCTCATCTAGTTAGTGTTATCTCAGTTTCACATTTGCATTCTCATTGATGTGATGATGTGATTTTAATGATAAAGTATACTCTTTAAAGACAATCCAAAATCTGTTTAGGAAATCGAAAGAATTAAATGGTTGTCATGCTGGAAGTACATGCATAAACGGAATACTTACTCTAAAAACCTAATAGACAAAGACAAAGAAAGGAAGAGCGGTGCATTCTGTATGGACTTACGGAAAGCCAGTGCCACTAAGCAAGACTTGTAGAAAACTCTACTAGTTCACCTTTTGTAACAGCTATAAAAAAAACAGTACTCCAAAACTGCTAGCGAAATAAAAGAAAGAAGGAATGTATCCGAAGTGTTTCATACCACAAAAAAGTTAAGACAACGTTGTTCATTAAAATTAATTTGAACAGCTCCATTAATTAGTAAGTGTAACGACAAATGCTTACAAATATGAGATGGTATCCTATATACTAGTTTATATGCTGATGACCAGGACGACAAGCGACATGAAAATTTAGAATACAATATAGGGAGTGGAAATTAACGATAGGTGCGAATAAAACTGAGTACATGTCTGTTGGAAAAGAGGAAAGAATCGCACTAGCTTAGGGGTAACTTCATCTTCAAATACAAGAAGCCGGGTCAACATAGATAACAAAAATAGCACAAGCCAAAAGAGCGATCTGGGAGCTTAATTCAATGCGATGGAACGAAAACATTACAAAAAAAAAAACGAAAGTACTATCTATTACACAATAATACCAGAGAGACAAACCGGGACTTTACGCCCTTAAAATGGATTATTGGAGAAGCACAACAGCATTGAATGTAAATGGGTCGGAGGGTGTGACCACTTTGAACAAATTGAAGAAAATTACTAGCCAAAGATTTGGAAATAGATTCCGCCAGAAATAGAAAGAAGAAAGTGTGGCAGACTACCGCATTGTTGGAAGAAACAGACTTTTGTTTTTTTGCGTATAACCTGAACACCTGGACATAATAGAAAAAATGCCTGAAATAAAACTTATAGTCCTGGATCTCCTGCGTCTTTGGGTTCAAGAATTGTGTCAATCGAGTTAACAGTTTTCGCGAAATGGTTCTTTTTATACAGCCAAAAATGACGACAAAAAATTTTTCGAAAATTTTGAAAAAATATTTGCCGATTGTACCTAGCTTTAACAATTCGGGTGCAAAGATTGAACTCGTACCACCCTGCCAAATTTGAAGCTGCAAATTTCGGGCACTTAACACCATATATCTCGAACACCCTGGACAATATACTTCTTCTTAAGGTGCCATATCCATTTCACTGGATGTTGGCGACAATTCTGGCAAATTCTTCGCGATCCTTTGCGGCTCTAAAAAGTGTGTGGGCATCAAGACCGGTCCAGTCCCTAATGTTTTTGAGCCATGAATTCTTCTTTCTACCGATGCCTCGCTTTCCTTCTATTTTTCCCTCCATGATGAGCTTAAGGAATTGGTACTTTGTATTTCTGAAGATGTGGCCCAGGTAAGCTGCTTTCCTTCGTTTAACCAGTTGCAACAACTCTCTCTCCATCCCATGCGCCTCAGGACTTCGTCGTTGGTGGTGTGATCTGTCCATGCGATTTTGAGCATTCTCCTAAATACCCACATCTCGAATGCTTCCACTCGATTCATAGTGCCAGCCTTAAGGGTCCAGACCTCGACGCCATAAAGTAACACCGAGTACACGTAGCACTTTATGAAGCGGTAGCGTAGTCTCAAACTAAGACTCTGGTTGGTCAGTATGGGTTTCATTTTTATAAACGTCGCCCTAGCTTGTTCGATTCTACCACGAATTTCCATATCTGGGTCTAGGTCCTCGGTTATCCAGCTACCAAGATACTTAAATTTAGAGACCCGCTGTATCCGTTTTCCTCCAGTCGAGACGTCCAAACGCACATCTGGTGTTCTGCTTATGACCATGACCTTAGTTTTTTCAACGTTAATCTTTAGGCCCGAGCGTTCTCCCGTCGCAGATATTCTATCGACAAGGCGTTGTAGTGCTTCTTGACTTTCAGCAATAATTACGGTATCATCTGCGTAGCGGAGGTTGTTGACTGGGAGACCATTGATCTTTATGCCATCATCCGTCTCAAAAAGTGCTCGGTCAAATACGGAATCGGAGTATAAGTTAAAAAGAAGAGGAGACAAGACGCATCCTTGCCTTACGCCTCTCTCTATCGGGAAACTTTGCGTGGTTTCATTTCCCACCCTTACAGAGGCTGTCTGGTTCCAGTACAGGTTCTTTATAAAAAAAAGATCGCCCTTATCCACTCTTTTCTCCTGCAGTAGACTCATTAGTTCTGTGTGGTTGACACAGTCAAATGCTTTTTGATAATCTATGAAGCACAGAAAGACGTCTTTTCGTTGATCTCGGCATTTTTGGAGTAAGATGTTCAAGCTGAAGAGTGCTTCTCGTGTGCCGAATCCCTGCCTGAATCCGAATTGGGTGGGCCCGATTTCTTTTTCACATTTGCCATAAATTCTTCTATGGATTATTTTAATGAAAAGCTTTAGGACCTGGCTCATCAAGCTGATCATTCGGAACTGGTCGCATCGATTAGGGTTAGGCTTTTTTGGTATAGGCACAAAGACTGATTGTAGCCAGTCTTGTGGTATTTGGCCTGTACTGTATATTGTGTTAAACAGTTGCACTAGGATCTCAATATTCTCGTCATCCAACAGCTTCACCGATTCCATATAGATATCGTCCGGTCCCGCTGCTTTTCCCTGCTTTCCTTGCTTTCCTTGTTTTATAACTTTGGACAATATACGAAAATGTTAAATACAAGAGTTTTAGCACCCTCTATGAGCTAAATTGACGCGTGAAGGAAACTGTCGACTCAATGATAACTTTTCACTAATAGTCAATTTTCCTTCCAAATCAATTTTTAGTTTCTTGCAAATATCGGCACACCCGGTATATTTTTCAAAAATTGTCAAGAATAGGGATTTTTGGCCACCGATATTTCGCATCCCCTAGTTCAAAAATTTTTTCGATCCGCTCGTCTGGAATTGCGGACTAACAATAAGTAACATCCTGTATTACCAACCAACCAAAGCAGCTAATTGCAATGGTTCTTTAAAATTTGGCCCACTTAATCATCTTTCATATATTCCAAGAACTCAATACATATATCAACAGAGTGGCTCACAGCGTATTGTTTAAAATATTCGCATAATTACTAACTACAGATACAGAAAATATTATACAATAATTACTATGACGTTGCGATTACAGATTTTTCACACGCGGAGATAATTAACAACTCTTTTTAGGCACCCGCAAACCGGGCGACGACTCTCATTATTGTTAGATTAAAAGCGATTTGCAATCAGGAAGATCGCAGTGAAAGGTCACTATCAACCAAATCATCCGACTAAACGCGATTCGGATGAAAGTTATTAATGAAAGTCGTACGCGTTTACAAAACTAGTTTTGCAACGTCCACGTGATTTCGAACCGACAATGAGCGTGTTCTTTGAAAATTAACAATCGCGATGAAAGTGTGTTCAAGTTATCTTTTCAGTAGTAAACTTCTACCTAGGCTAGACTAATATGATGAATACTGTAATTAAATACTATTTTTACTTAGTTTTTGAATAGTACATTTCTATGTTCCTTAAAGTAAATTGTACACTGCGTAATCGCTTCTATTTATTATTCACTTCGACAACCTTTCAACATTTTTTCAATAATGGTGTCCAAACATTCTTAATATCTAAAAAGGGTTTGCAAAAACACTTGGGATTTTGGACAATGACTGTACTGCTTCTTTTTATTTTTTCCTTCTACAATGTGGTTCTTTAGTTCACCTAAAGAGAACTGAAGAAATACCAGATAAAGTCAATGGGACTCCAAAACATCTCATTTTTCCAAATAAACATTCCAATGAGTGTACTACTGACACCAAATGGATATGGATAGGAAACAGCTTCTGCAAAATGTTGTGTTGCTTTTTTTACATTTTGAAATGATTTTGGAAGTTGCATAACTTATAACCCAAATGAGCGGGTAAATCAGTTATAGAGTCTAAGTATAAGTATTTTCTTTTATTTGACTGGACCTAATAATGTTTCTTATAGTTCCGATAGAGTATCTGGTTGTGTCCTCAATCCAAACATTTCCAACGCAATATCGACCAATATCAGCAACTCAAAGCGGAATGTTGTCTTTAAAATTGTTTTAAATACATTTTTTTCTTTGTGGTTTTCTTGCATATCAAAAACGGGTAGATTAAATTTTTCCATTTGAAGTAACAGCAATGCGACGTAGTCTGTTTTGATGGCACTGTCAACAAATTAAGTTATTAACTCGGTTATAATGATCCCGAAGTGGATTTAAATTAAGGTCGGTGCCCCCTATTTGGTTATCATAGAAGAATTCCAATACGACATAGTGAAAATCTCATCTCTTCATGTTTAACATAAAACCAGTCTGCGCCTAGTTTATGACCCACAAATATTGAATAACAACAATCATACAAATAACCGCAAAATCAGAATTTAATGCAATATTACTCGCGGTGAAGGTGTGTAATTTCATCTTGCAACCGTTGTTTTTACGCCGCGCCCGTTTCATTGTTCTTTTGCCAAAATATTTTCGCCCGACAGAATGACCATTGTTAAATAGCAATGTATTGCATTTTCGGAGTATACCCAAAAGTCTTACGCAGTTATTTGACACTTAAATTAGAAAATTAGCACAGTAACAAGACTGACAAAAAAGCAACAGCAATTATTATTATATTATTAATTATTACACTTATCATTAGTATTATGCCAAGAATTCCGAGTTGACCTACCTGTGTTTAAAATTAGAATTGTAGTTACTTTCCGGCAGTTGCTGAGTTGCTTCAAGTTAAAGTTAAAAGTGAAAAATATACCGATAAGAAACTTTAAAAAATGAGGATGAAAAGACTGCAATCAGAATAATACACTCGTTTTAATTAAAATGAACAAATATCTACTTTGGACGAAATAACTTTGATGGAAATTATCTGCTGGTGATGACGACATTTGAGAGCAGTCTCTCATGACGTAACTTGGATAAATGAAGGATATACCGTTTGTTAAACATAGCAGGCTACAAATTTAAAAAGCACGGGGAAAACTTTCATGGTCCACTGGAGTAAAATCACCGTCAGAAAAAGGTAAAAGACTAATAATTACTCACATGATAGCACTAAATAGATTTGTCATTGGAGGCTTACTATCATTTCAATCAAAAGTGGCTGGAGACTATTATGAATGTTGATGTTTCTGAAGACTATGTGCAATGCTAGATGTGAATGACATCATTCATTGGCCCACTTTAAATAAGAATTTCAGAAAGATATGCTGAAAGAGGTAACCTCTTTGTACGAAATTTGTTGTCAGAGGGTTACTAGCAAGGCACAACACCGCTTTTACAATGAATATATAGTGGATTGGGAAAAAAATTATAAAGTTTATTCTGTTTATCCATTTTTATAGTATTATTACTTCTATAATAAAAAAAGTTTTATTAACTTGTTCTTTGAATAATATAATATCTCAATTATCTTCCCATCTCTATAATTATATTTATGTAATATTAATAATAATAATGTTAATAATCATAATAATAATAATAATAATGATAATATCAATAATAATAATAATAACGTTTATTATTTAAGGTACAATATAAAATGAAGTAGGATAAATAAAGGTAGTATCAAATTCTTGCCCAAGGCACAATAAGATCTTTTAAGAATATATTATATATGGCTGGAAAACTTTAGTTGTGAGTCAACAAATTAGCCTAAGCTTTTAGCGCTTTCAACAACCTGGGGCAAAATGTTATTACTCCTTACTGAAAAATCTCTTGATATTTCATTAACGCTGCTTTTGCCGTTTTGTGTAATCAAGCTTTGGCATATACGCATCCATACATATTTAACGCGTGTCTCTATCAGCTTTTACGACCATTAAAAATAATTTTTAATCTTATTCTTAAAACCAAAAGTAGAAAAAAAAAACAGAAATTAATAATTATAGACCCATGGCAATCAGTAAAATTTTTGAAACCATTTTGTATAAATACATCCTATCTCATATATCAGAAGTAATACATCTAAACCATCACGGCTTTGTGCCTAGACCAACTTAACAAGCCAAGCTTACTTAAAATACTGAGTCTATACAATAAACAAGTAGTAGTGGTATGTGCATCGTACCTAAAAAGAATAATGTATAAGAATAATTTGTCCGGCTTTCAGGTGTTCCGCAGGTTTCGAATCTGGGTCCACTGATTTTCCTTTATTTAATAAATGACCTGCCAAATATTCTTCAGAATCCTGATTTGGAATTTTTCGCAAAAGACTATAAATTTTAGAGGGTTTAGAAGACTGCCTTCTACTCCAAAAGAGCACAAGAAGAAACGGATTCAATTTTCAACAAATAAAAACTTTTGAAACCTTGTACAACTCACTAGTAGTAAGAAGCTTACTTCAGTATGCTTTGTTTGTCTGGCCCCCTTTATAAAAAATATACTGAGGTAATAGAAAAAATTCGGAAGAAATTTTTACACTTTGTATACTACAAAAAACATGGAATATACATATTTGACATACCATATCAAAATTTACTTCAAGAATTTCGTTATGAAACGCTAGAATCAAGATGGAAGAAATCTGCATTAACGTTAGTAGCATAAGTTTCAACTCTAACCCCTATTTCACAAATAGAAGTAGCATTTTTTAGTTAAATAGACTCCGCACCAATATTGGTTAACACTCTCCACTATTCCGGATGTGTAGTTTAGCAAACAGTTTAAAAAACAAAATGGGCATTTTTAATTGTACTTCCACCAATTCATTCAAAAACCACTTACAAAATTAGCATTTGAAACCTAAATTATATGGATTTAGTGGTGTTGTATATTTGCTAATGCGCTGGTGTTTTTTTGTTTTTATAGAAGGCATTTAGTTTCATTTTTTTCTCTTTTTGCAATAACGTGCTTGTAAATAAGTTTGTTGATTGCAATTAAATAAATAAAAAAATAAATAAATCTAATTTTATACTATTTATTGCTGGCCTATAAAGTCATAGAGTAAACACGAGCAATATATGCAATGTATGCAAATTAGTTTGACCCTAATTTAAGGACGATTCGAGGAGTGTAGTTCTTAAAAACTGAAATAAGGAAAGTCAGCTATTTAACGAAACTTTACGATATAATGTTTAACTTATTCACCTGTTTAGTGGTCCCTGCCATTGCAAATTTACATTTTATTGCCCCCTCGCATTAATAAACATATTATAAAACGACTTACGTTCAAGAATTCTCCGCGCTTGTTGGTCTCGTAACTCGCACCGGCCCCAACACTACCAGCACTACCGAAATTGGCAACTTTGATCTCATTATTCTCCGACAAATAGTGAACCAACTGATCCAAATTCACGTTGTATTTCTGTTTATGTAAATTCGTTTCGTGTATCGTTCCTGTCATCAAAGGGGTAACAACCTCGCTGTCAAACTTGTAGCCCCCTGTGGTGATGGCTGGGAGATTGACTTCGAAGTTATCCAGGTGCTTATTGGTGTCCAAATCGATGGAAGCCACTTCTACGGACGGCTGCAACTTAATTTCGTAATAGCTTCCTTGATTCGGTATAGGGAGAAACGAGATGCCGTGATCGACATTGGGGAGTGAATGTTGGGTGTGATCGCAGAAATAATGATGGTTGATTATCTTCGCGGGAGTGCTGTTGAGAATTCTGGGTTTATGGGACGGCACGCGTCTGAATGAGTGGTAGGTCGGTATTCTAAGCACGGAGACCAGGGACCTGTGCTTCCTAGTGTTGCTGGAAGCGTCGGTCGGCGAAGTCTCTTCCGACGAACACACGACGCAGAAGATTAACGAGATCTGGAAACAAAATTACAAGCCATCATGCGCTTTTTGTGCCGTCTGGTGTAGCTCCAAACCGGATTTTTCGGAAAATTGTATTAATTCTATTGGCTATTAGCAGTTTTTAATGCCTATCGCAAATAGGTTTGAAATGCACAATAACTTATTATCCGCGTTAAGCTAAGCTTGAAAGCTAAGTCTGAAGGAACTAAAAAAATGATCGATAAATAGCTAGCCTATAAAAATATTTTGAAAATGCAACATCGCCAGATTTTTTGAAAAAAATGTACTATAACAAATTAATTAATTAAAATAAAATTTAATGCGTTCTGTCTTATAGTATATGTCTTGGATTTTGACGTCAATTAAAAAATAACCTCCCGACGTCATCTGATCAGTAGCTAATGTAGGACAGAGTTTCAAGGACTGACTTTTAAGGTGTTAAGCAGATAGGGATTAAATGTATAATATATAAATACTAGTACTAGTCGAAAATTTTATGACATGATATACGAATTATCAATAATTACTTAAATAAGAACGTTTTTATTGAAAAACTAATTCTTTTTAACTTTCAGGTTTGCCATTAGTATTAATTGCAATGAGACATATATTCACTATTGTCCAGATGGTTAAATTGAAAATCACTACAATTTTTCTTTCATTTACTGTTAACAATATTCTCTATAGAGTATATTTACGTTTTTGTAAGTAAAGTTTCTAGTTTAAACCTTCATGATTTTGACGTGATAACGGAATAATTAGTGATATACTCGTCAGAAACTTTTTCGAAACACGGCGTAAAATAGTTTAACACTGCCACCGACATTAGCTGATATGTAGACGACATCTACCTGACTCTCCCCGGTCTGGTCCCTTTGACGATATACTTTAATACACACTATACAGGCCCCAGTCAGACGCTACGTTTCGTTGATTGCTGTTTTATTAGTAAATTGCATTTACATTTCTTACGATGAACTATGTACAGAAATCGCCACAGAATAGCGAATGAAATATCCATTTACGACCGCGTGCGTGTAAAATTGTAAATTTTAAATCGGCGAACACGAATCTAACGCCCATTTGGTGTTGCGTTAGATCGCTTAAAAAATTCAGGATCGTGATTATTCTCATGAATTTGCTTAATGGATTTCTCACTACTCACGCAATCGTGCAACATATACTACCTGCAAATTCATTTTAAAAAAAGTTTTTCCTTTGAACATTCCCTTTTAAAGCAAATTTTGAAACCAGCGGCGATCGATTGACGAGAGCTATGTTTCTTACGGCGCAAGAAAACAAATTAAAGTATTGAAATATTTCCCAAACTGGAATATAATTTAGTTACAGTTAATGCAGCACAGTTAACGTCTAGCGCGTCCTTCGGTGTCGGTTCGGCGAGCTTCGGAGTTGTTCGTTCGCTAGTTCGACTGGGAAAACCCGAGGCACCGGCGACGAACACCCAAAAGCGGCCGAAACATTTATCCAAATAAAGAGAGAGGTTAAAAATTAAATTACTTTTGTTAGTTATCTATATAAGTGGTTTCCACTATACAGTGTACTTACAAACAAAAAAAAATAACAGTTTACAAAATAAAGTAGAGGTTACTGAAAATCAAAATAAATAAGAACTAAAAGTTCAGATTTTCAAGAAATTATATATTATGTCTAGACAAAACCGTGTCTTTATCAAATGACATTATCAAGTGACATTTGATAAAGACACGGTATTGTCGAGACAATTGTCATGTCATAATATATAATTTCGTGAAAATGTGAACTTTTAGTTCTTATTTATTTTGATAAATGCATTTTTATCAAGTAAAAGCCACCTCAGTTCAATTAGAGGTTACTGGACATGATATAAAGAACAACAATTTACGCTATTGTTTAAGCCTTAAAAAACTTACAACTTCTATTAAACGATGAAGGTGTAGGTAGGTAGTTCATTGGCTCCTCAGGGATTTTTATTTTACAATTTGACCTTCTAAAATAGGTGTCTTTAAGTAATGGGCGCTGTTCTTTTCTAGAATTTTAATTCAATTTCAATTTCTTCCTACGTTCTATCCGGATAACTACTTAGGTAACTTTTACTTTTCGATTCTTGGGTATGCTAGGTAGCTGGTTAATTTTTTTGCAAAATCCAAAATGTCCTCAAAATAAATCATATTGCTTATTGAATAAATTTAAAAATCATCAATAATTTTAGCTAGTAGAACAATTGGGCACACGTTTTTATTAACCTTTAAAATGATTCTTGATAATCACAGTGTGCAATTTTCCAAGTAAAATTTTACTACATACACATTTATGATAGATTTGACTCTTTGACAGATGTATTTTAAAAACATTGTAATGTAAACAAATCATAATTATTGTCTATAGAGGAAAATTCTTTCTCCATGCTGCCCCGAACGAGCCACGAACACGATACGATTTGGACAAATGAACATTTGGACAAATACGGCCATCTCAAATGTTTCGACCGCTTTCGGGTGTCGTCGCCGGGGCCTCAGGTAATTTGGACAAATGCACATTATAGCATTTGTGGTTCTCCCGTTCGACTGCGACAATGGGAGGCGATATAGAAATATAAAAGTGTTGTAGATTCCCTACTAAATATGGAAACCTTTTTCATCAGTGGCACCATGAACCAAATTTAGGTTTAGAGAAAAGTACTAAAACTGCCAGTGCTTCCTAATGAATCCCTAAAATAAAAAAATCAAAACGTGACAAAAGCAAAATGAAAATGCAAAGAAAACAGTATCATCAAATTGAAGAGAGAAACTTCATATATAGAGGTTAGTTCTTCCTGGTGAAAGGTATTAATTTTCCTTGATGTTATCGGTAAAATTAAACATATATCTAAGAATTATGTGTTATTTGTCTAAAAAATAAAATTGTGGTGCAGTTGAGCTCGACTTTAGCGACAAAGTTTCATACCTCTTTTTTTCCAATAAATATTAAGCAAATGTCAAAAACACCTATTATATTACTCACTACAGTGTGGCTGTTTACTAAAGATATAAGGTTTTTTATCTATTATCTTTTCGTAATTATATAAAAAAAATAACTTGCATTGTGTTAAATATAATAATAAGAAAACAATATTTTCTACTGATTTCGAAAATATAAAGTTTGCGTATATTATCGATAATCATTTTTCCAATGTTCACCTAAAATTTTAGGTGAAAAAATCAAATCTGTCTAATTAGTTAATATTCATTAATTTGCAATGACATAGATGTGACTTTTTATTTATAGTAATTATTTTTGAAAAATGGGCAACAAAAACAAGCTTTTCCTCAACTTCTAAATAAAAAAACTTAGTTTTATTTATTGCATATGTTCAACATATCGCTCATTATTATATATGCAAATTTGAATTTTCCTTAAAAATTTCAAAATATATTGCTTTTCGATGCAGTTTTTCCTAAGTTATTGGTAGTGTTGGGGCGGGTCAATCGACCACATTTTAATTGACTGTCAAATTCGATCAAAATGTTTCAAATAACGTCTTGTAATTATAGAGTGTTATCTCTCCTTATTTAATAATAATATTATGTTTTTTATAGTAAATTAGTATATATTTGTGATGTTCAATTGACCTATGACCTTCTTTAAGGAATATCCGAATACGATACTTAGGGGAATCCCAATCAAAAATATCGACTCCAGTTAGTTCTCAATGACGCGACTGCGACGTAACGCACAATATAAATAAATAAATATAAATTTCATTGTATTTTTAAAATTTGATCGGTCAATTTTGCAACTCTATTTATTGAACTTTGATAATACACTTTGTTTTTCAAAAAGCCCTATAGAGATGCGCCTAATCGATTGAGACAGGGGCTATTAGTTGACCACTGTAAAGCCCCTCTACTGCCATTCCAAAAGCGAAATCTTTCGTTCACATAGTTTTTTATTTCATTTAGATTGTCGTTTTTTGCCATATAAGTTCAATAAATAATTGCAAAAGAATCTCTTTCAAAAACAGTTGCTCTATTTCATTTTGAAAAAAAATTAAGTATCTAATTCCATTTAAATTTCCCTTAAAAATAAGAAGACCAACAATTCTATTTCTTATCATGACACACCAAACATAAAAAGAAGCTCGTTCTTGAATTTTAACAACTTGCTTATCTTGTATTTTGTGAATGGTATATTTTAATTTTGAATTGAGCATTGTGAATTTTCTATTCTATATCTAAATTTTTTTCAAACAAGTTAAAATATACTGGATGTGATATTTAAAACAATGCAAATTATGCTGTTTTGATAGATTTGCAACTCTTTTTTTTAATTCTATAATTACTAAAAGATAGTAGATAAAAAAACACACATTTTGTATTTAGCATTTCTTTTAACATTTCAAGATTAAGGTGTAGGTATAACGCAAAATATAAACAACACCCTGCAAAAATATAAAGAGAATAAAAACCATTTCGGCATTATATTCAAGGATATAATACTCTCAGCTTCAATTTACCTATGTTTTGGGGTCTTGGTTCATTTTTCCACAACATAATACAATCTAAGCAGGTGTAGACATAACAAACAGCATAAAGGAATACAATAAGAAATAAAATGTATTTTTTTGAAAATTCTATTCAAATTTGGAACAACTGTGTTGCAGACACAGTATAATGGTACGTGGGCCCCGACTGCACCATTTTTTTAATAGTTTTCTCTATAATTAGAGAGCAAGAAACACTTTAGTTTGCCAACGTATCTAGCCATTTTGTAAGACTAATCAGTGGCGCCGAAGTGTACAAATTTGTAAAAGCTCTTTGGTAGGCATTTTTTCCTTACTTGGTCAACGTAATTCCGCAGCCATTGCCTCTGGCAACCTGCGAATTAGTTTATTAAAAAATCAATCACATACATGCTTTCTAGACTACAGCTTTCGGTATGACTCTAATTGCTGTTTGCCGTTATTCCCACGGCAGATAAATGACAATTTTCATGGAAAAATCCAACTTTCCTTTAGTAGGAACGCGCTCAATCGCCAC